ATAAATCCTGCTTGGTCATGGTGTATAATTTTTTGTATACACTGTTGGATTCAATTAGCTAATATCTTATTCAGGATTTAACTTTTTCTTTGAACTTCATTTCTTTTTAAAAATTACTCTTCAAGAAAAAATAAGTGTGATACATTATTACAGAAAATTTGGACTGAAAGTGAAAAAAAAAGTACTCAATCCCATCACTCAGAGGTAATCACTGTCCAACATTCTCGTGTATTTCTTACGGTCTTTTTTAACAGAAATATTAATATCAGCAACAGTAAATACTATTATTACTTCTTTGGGTAGATATAGAGGTAGAGACCTCATGATGCTGTATTTACATGCAGTGGGCTAATGAAAGGAGGTAAAGAGGATCATGTGACTGGTTTTGTCTGCATTTTCTGATGAAGATGAGAAAATTGGTTTAAAGAAGAGATTAAATGCTCACTTCAGTAACCTTTTCTTTTCTCAATACCCCCACTGTAAAAGCCAAGCAACAGAGGCTTCTAACCAGGTTGTCAGGAAAATATTTGACTGCACTCAACAATGTTAGTAATGGAATGTAGTTCATAGTTCGTGAACTATTTTATTATTGTATTTTAGGTTAAAATACAACAATTTCTAGGTTGCTGGATAATTTTCCAAGCCTTAGGAATGAACATTGGTTTTATTCACAAATAGTGGCTATTCTTCTCATACACGAAAGATACTGAAAAAGGACTTTGTCCCTGTTGATGAAGCTCTTCCCTCACCTGCCCTCACTGGAGCCTGATAGAGATTTGGAAAGCGCTGTCTTTGAGCAAAATGCCAGAATACATACGAGAGGCTGTACAGAAGCCTTAACTTTGAGATTCCCAACCTGAAAGTTTCCATGGACACTGGCATGCTGGGAAGGTACTGTGCTGGTGGGAGTGAAGACAGCTTGTCGCATCTGAAAAAATTGCATTTCCTGCCTTTTTATTTTTCTGTTTTAGAACAGTGGCCATTCAGAAGAGGAAAGGGGGAGTGAAAGTGTACTTCTTGACATTTGGGGAGGTATTTAGAGTCTTCACAAACTATTTCATACAGTTCACACTTTTTAAGATCATTTTTTGAATAGCCTCCTTTAAACTTACTCGCAGGGAATTTGGCTAGTAGAACAAGTATTTCTGAACTCTTCAACCAATGTAGACTCAGAGGCTTTTCTTTTGTGTGGCTTCCTGCTCCTGATCCTGTACCATCTTTCTCGGTTCACATCAGCAACGCTTTTCTGGAACAAATCTTTCTTAAGGTATGATGCTTTCTAGCTAGTATGCCTTTTTTTGTTGTTGTTTTTAATAATCTGCCTGTAATAGAAAACGAAATAAAACCTTCGTTTCCTGTAAGCCAGCTAGCTAGGAGTTAATGGCTTACAACCCATGTCAAGCACATCGAATGGTATTGTTTTTAAGTACAAGCTCTTAATTCAAGGTTTTATGTGTTTAATTATGTATGTGTAAAGTGCCAGTCTGTATGACTCTTGGGTCCATCCTAGCTTGGAAATATTAACTACAAGAGCATATAGAAAGTAGCATGGGATGAAACGTAACTCTTCAGATGCTCATCCTTTATCCCAAGATTCACTTAGGAGGGAATAACATCTCAGTGGGGATAATAACAGAGCTGCCTGTTGACCAAGGAAACGTCTCAATTAAGAAGAAATAAGTTTGAAGGACCTGAAGCAGGCAGAAAGGGATCATGACAGGCAGTATATTGTAGCACAGAGTATGCTGGATTAGACGAAAGGAAAGCTGGTTTCTAAGCTTGACTTTATTATTGCACGTGTGTGTGTGTGTGTGTGTGTGTGTGTGTGTGTCCGTGGGAGGCTGAACTCCGCTCTAGTGAGAACAGTCAGCTCTTCACTGGCTAGTTATGACTGTTCGCAAATAAGCCCCTCAATTTCTCAAATTATAATGTTGTGTTTAGGTAATTTTAGTTAAAGTGCTATCTTTAAGTAGTAATGTAGATTTTCATCCTAATGCAATGATAACAAAGATATATCAACTGGCGCATGCCCTAGGACTTTAAAGTGTCATCAACTTAGGGGCCAGCTGACCAAAGGGAGGCAGCTTCTGTTAGGGTTTCATTTGTGTAGGGGACCCAGGTATTGCAGGGAGATTTTCCTGGAGACCACTACCAGTGCCCAGGCATCACCTCAAGGAGGAGGGAGAAATTTTTCTTTTAACCAGAGTACTTCTACTTTCGGCTCTGTTGTGTTTTAGGGTTCTACATTAAGATTTTGTTTAGGGTAAGTGAAGCTCTGTGGCTCTAAAAAAGCTTAACAGCGCCAGTTTTATTGTTCTGTGATACACCCAGCCTTCTTTTGTCTGCATATGTAGAATTTTCTTTTTACTAACACTGTGTGTAGTACAGTCAGGAATATGAGACTGTCACTCTCACCTTTGGGGAGCTGTAGGATAGAGGCCGAAGAAATTCTAAGAAACCTACACAGAAATGATGTCAGTGGCTCTCAGGTAGCCGGGGCTGATGGAAGGGGTCTGCTGCTCTTGGAGAACTGTGAAGTTTGTAGCAGGATGGAGTTTTGGTGGCAGGGAGGTGAAATGAACCTGAAAGGGAGTTTTGAAAGCTCTTTCACTCCTGCTATTGGGAAGAGTCCATTCTCCAGAGTACTGAACCTACTATATGCCAGGTTCCCCAGGGAGTCTGTCCTTTGGCCTCGGAATTTGAATGGAAGCTATGACCCAAAAATGTGTTCTTCCCATTTTGAACTAGGTTGGGGAATATCTTTTTGTTGATTAGTAGAGCACGGGGGTTTAAAGGATACAGGTTTTGGAGAGTAGATTATTCTGGCTTCAGTTCTTATTTGTGGCCTGATCTGTATGAGATTAAACTGTACAAAATAAAGGTTGAAAAACCTGTGTAAAACAAGAAATAGAGAATTTGATTTTTTTTTTTTTTTTTTTAAAGCCCCATGATTTAGTCACCTACTGCAGTCTGGCCACACCTTCCCTGACTGACGTCAGCTTCTGACCTGAACCACATGTGTGTGTGAGGGCTGGGAAAATAGGTTACGAGTCCGTTTTTATCATGTTCCCCATTTTCAGTCACTTGCAACTGTTAAAGAGATTTTCTCAGGCATTCAGAAAAGTTCATCTCTTAGCTAAAATTTCCTAGGTTTAGTCTCTAAGAGAAGGTCTCAGGTCTTTATAATACCTAATTTATTTCAAAGTTCGAGATCCATTCATAAAAGGTCATCATAAAGCATAACAGCCTTGAAATTAACACACTAAAAATAAAAAGGAACTACATAAATAAACACAAATCACAGTTCTCAATCTGATACAGATTTGCAGAGACATTAATAACATTTAACACTCCCCCTCCCCTTTTCTTTCACACCAGGGATAGTACCTGCAGAGAGTATAATGAATTCCTGAGGGCTTATGTCACTTAGTCACTTGATGTGTGAATAGAGACAGGTCCTGTGGGCCTTATTTTGTATGGACGTTCTTATGGCAGTGTTACAAAAGCTGCTTAAAGTATCAAGGCTCTTTCAGTTTTTAAGAGGCTAATTAGAAATGGCCCATCGTCCCCTCTTCTGTAGACTTTCTCTTCCTCAGTCTCAGTTTTAGCTCTTCCCAGTTTGGTTTTCCTTCCCGGAGACTGTTCTAGCCTGGAGCACCAGCCTGGGAGCAGGAAGATTGGTGGCCCCTGCATCTTCTACAGGTGTCCTGCCGCTGCATCTCTTCCCTTATCTGTCAAAGAAAGGATTCACCTTAATGACAGCTGCTTTTTCTCTCAGCTCTAAAATTCTCGCATGGCCTTTCTCCTTTTGTCCACTGCACCGCCCTTTCCCTTTACCCTGCCGTAGTTACTCACCGTACACAGTTGTTTGAAAATATTCCTAAAATGCATGTAGTTGGGAAAAAGCATCAGTAAGTGTAGTTACTGGTAGGATACAGAGTTTAGAAGTTCTTATTTTGGTAGTTTCTCACTTTGTTTACCTTATGCCCCAGCCAGATAGAGCCTATAGTCATGTTTTATTTGATCTGCTCAGTGGTTGCTACAAAATAAATCAATAATATATTTTTACTTATCAGAGAATAAACATTTTAAGGCTTGACATGATCTAATATTGGTGAATGTATAAAGAAATGCCTGTTTTCACACATTCTTGAATGTAATTGGTACATCTGTTTTGGAGGGCAGTTTGGCTGTATCAGTCAGTATTTTTAGAGTATGAAATAAATGGACTCAGTGACTCCAGAAGTCTCTAAAAAAAAACTCATGCGAATATTAAGAGATGTATCCAAGGATGTTCATTACAATGTTGTTTGTAATAGCAAAAATCTGAAAATATCCTGTATTTCCATTGAGAAGGAAAATAATTAATGTTTATGCTCTATCTTTTTATTTATATATTTATAAATATTTATATTTGTATATATCCACCTCGTGTAGATGTTAAAAATAATATAATGAGTGAAGTTGATCTGTATGTACTAACATACTTTAAATAGAAAAACAAGACCCAGAACCTAATGTTCACTATGACCCATTTATATAAAAACCAACATAACTGTCTGTGTACATGTATGTGTGTAACTAGAAAGAAAAATGGCTGGAAGTATACATACCAAAATGTTAATAGTAACTACCCTCCAAAGAGAAAAATGGTATCCAGATGGAGAGAGAAGAATTTCATTTTTTATAATCTACACTCACCTATTAAATTGTTAAAAAGTAATTAGGTATTGCTGGTGTAAAAAATGAACAAAAGGAAGAGCAAAAAGGGAAAGATAAGGAATTACTTCCTAAAGACTAAAAAGGCAAAAGGATTACCAAGAAATTCATCAACAGTATTATGGGAACATTGTTTAGAGGATATTCCAAAATTTCTGGACCGCGCAAGAACCTGGTTGGTTTATATTTTGGCCAGGACTGCCTAGCACTTACAGTAGCAGTTCTATCTTCCATTTCTCTGTAAGTCCAACTTATTATCTTTACTTGTTTGTGTTCTGCAGGTAACCCGGGACCAGATGAAGGTGTTCATACAGCAGGAATTTAAGAAAGTTCAGAAAGTGATTGCTGATGAGGAGCAGAAGGCCCTTCATCTGGTGGACATCCAGGAAGCAATGGCCACTGCTCATGTGACTGAGATACTGGCAGACATCCAGTCCCACATGGACAGGTTGATGACTCAGATGGCCCAAGCCAAGGAACAACTTGATACCTCTAATGAATCAGCTGAGCCAAAGGCAGAGGTAAAGGAGAATGCCTACAATTTTTAGTAGCAGGGGAACAGTAGAAAACTGACTGTTGTGTTTGTTAGCTCTGGAAATTCTCTTTTGTGGTCCCTAAACATGAATGAATTGAAAGCTTAGGCTGTAGGTGGTTAGACTGGTGTCTAAACCAGTGTGGAAGTATTGACTGCGAGGGCCTGCACCCAGCAACTGGGTCTGGCAAAATATTTGTCCACCATGACTTAAAGGAGTATAGTCAGTAGGGCAAATACTAATCACAGTTAAGGAAGGAAGCCAGAAATTAGAGCCAGAGAAGAAGGCAATTGACAGATTCCAAGTTGTGAAATGAGCCTATAAATAAAGTCATCATAGGGATGAGAACAGGGTGAATGAGAATGTCAGGAAGTGGCACATAAAGCAGGCCAGAATGAAAGGCTTTGGACCGATTGTGTGAGTAGTGAAAAGGTGCCTCAGCCTGGTTTTTATGTGGAGCCAGCTGCATAAATTGCGGGCATAACTGTTAGATTAAAGGAGGCATGTGGCGCTGGAACGATCAAAAAAGGTGTGAATGAAAGACACCAGGTGAATGTTGAATCACTACAAATATATCTGTATTCATTGTTCTTTCCTAACAGACAAAAAAAAGTCTGACGCATTTTACCAAACAACATTTTCAGGCATTTAGAAAGTAATTCTAAAATAAAATTTAAGATAGCCATTTAAAGAAAATATTATAGAACCTATATTTCAGCCACTGGGGAAAAGCTTTTTTTCATAAGGTTTCATAGTGTTATGTTGAAAATTCTGGTCAAGCTTATGCCAGAAGGGTAGGCCCTTCTAGAAGAAAACATAGGGGAGTCCTGTGCACTCTCCAGGACTGCTCCTGACTCACGGTACTTACTGTTTAGCTAGCAGTCTTGCCTTGGCCCAGGAGAGCCTGGGTGTACAGAATAAATACAGAATAAGTGAGCCAACAGAAGAGCCAGATTATCATTCAGGAGACAGGTGTTGTCCAAGCCATCCTGACAGAAAATGTCAGAGACCATTGGACAGTTACCTGCTTCACTCATCCAGGGTTCTTGATTAATTTTCTTCAGTGGGTGAAAAGAGTTGAATAAGTCTTGTTCATTTTATCCTCCGCAGAATTAAGAAAGTATGTGCCTAAATAAGTTTCTAGATAATCAAGAGAGCACTTTATATTCATCATTTCATTTAACCCTTATATCAGCATTATCTCTGTTTTACAGATGGGATGTTGAGATGCAGAGAACTGCAGAGACCCTGAGCTAGTGTCATTTAGTTAGAAAATGGAGTGAGGATTCAGATTGAAGTCTGGGCTATCCCAATGCCTGTGTTGTTTTCCCTACTATGTGCAGTATGTCAAGTGTCCATTTGTATAGGTGGGAAAAATGACGAGAATCAGTGCCCTAGACAGCTTTGCATTCCTGAGACCTTTGATTTTACTTTTTTTTTTTTTTTTAAGATTTTTCATTTATTTATCTTTATGGGAAAGAGAGCACGTGTCAGGGGAGGGGACAGAAGGAGAAGCAAACTCCCCACTGAGCAGGGGGTCTGATGTAGTATTTGATCCCAGGACCCTGGGATATGACCCAAGCCAAAGGCAGATGCTTAACTGACTGAGCCACACAGGTGCTCTCCTGAGAACTTTTATAGTGTAGAAGTAATCACTGTGTGTCTTAAACAAAAAATTCAACCAGAGTTAACTCAAGGGATCAGTGGCATAACTCTGTCCCCAATTCCCCCCAAATCGGAACTCCACATTTATTATTATTAGGTTTTTTCAAAAATAAAGATTTATTTTTGAGAGATAGCCTCCTCTCTTTTATTTTCATATCAAGTAATGAATTTAGTCCCTCCCCAGTATTTAACCATCCTCTAACCACTTTAGGTGCTCAACTGCACTATGCCTGTTAACTCTGATGGAATTACCCTTAGGGATGCAAAACTGACAAGGCCTAAGGACCAGGCTATGGACAAAATAAGATATTAAAAACAAAATATAGCATTCAGCTGGCTAGAGCTTTTACAAAGAGCTGTTCTCATCTAACAGCCTCTCGTTCCAGCTAATCTGGTAACTTATTGATCAGAGAAAATCTCCAGTACCTCTCTTTCACTCAGCAGAGGAATTCTTTTTCTTTCTTTTGCACGTTATGGGTTTTTTTTTAATCACCTGCATTTCAAACTTGGCCAAAAGATTCTTCCCCCTAACATTTTATTATGAAAATTTTTGAACATACAGCAAAGTTGAAAAGAGTCTACAGATTACACCCATATACTTCCACGTAGATTCTACCATTAACATTTTAATATACTTGAATCAAGATTTATACATAGCCATCTTTCCAGCCTTCCACTCTTCAGTGCATCTTATTTTTTGATGCATTTAAAATCAGATTGCAGCTTCTGATTCTGAACAAGATGAGTAAACATATTTTACTTTATTACTTGTACTAATCACAGCAAAAATTCCTGGACAAAATATTTATTTATTTATTTATTTGTTTGTTTGTAAAAGATTTTATTTATTAGAAAGGGAAAGAGCATGAGTGGGAGATGGGGCAGAGGGAGAAGCAGACTCCCTGGTGACCTGGAAGCCTGCACAGGGTTCAATCCCGGGACCCTGAGATCATGACCTGAGCTGAAGGCAGATGCTTAACCAACCGAGCCATCCAGGTGCCCCTGGACAAAATATTTAAATCACCTACTAGAAGACTCCCCAAAGTGAGAAAAGATGGTCCTGACCAGGGATCTTGGAATTTGAGGACTTACATGGCAGAGTTCCCTTGGGTTTTTCTTGCTTCCTGTATATCCTGGCCTGGGTGCCTTGCAAACTGGAAACTATAATGAGCATGGGCAGAAAGAAAATTTCCAAGAAAAGTCTGCTCTCTGTAGCCAAAGAACTAGGAAAAGGACAGTTCAGCTATAGAGAAACCTTTTGACCAATCCTGCTTATTCTGGAGACACACACCATGAATATAGCTATACCCCTTCCCAGCCCCAGTTGGCTTTGCAGTAGTGGAGCCAATGGGGTGGATACCTATTTTTTTCTTTTTTAAAGACTTTATTTAGTTATTTGACACAGAGCACAAGTAGGCAGAGCGGCAGACAGAGGGAGAGGGAGAAGCAGGCTCTTTGTTGAGCAGCGAGCCCAATTCGGGCCTCGATCCCAGGAATCTGGGATCATAACCTGAGCCACAGGCAGCAGCTTAACCAACTGAGCCACCCAGGCGCCCCAGGAAACGCACTTTTTTGTCTTCTTCTGCAGTAACGAGTTATCATTCCTTTCCCCTGGAGCCTTTAGGTAAATGTCAGATTTCTGTCATCATCCCTGCCCATCTCAGTAGTCAGTGCTGTCTGTCTCCCTTGGAGCCTAAAGGTAGAACTCTTACATCTACCCCTTGCCTGCAGTGTCAGGAAGGAAATAGTATCCCTCCCCTTTGGAGACTGTAGATGGAGCTCTAACTCCTCCCTCCCACCCCTACCTTAACTAGGCAATATACCTCCCCAGCTGGGTCAGTGGGTAGAACTTTATCCTTGCACTTTTTCCTATAGTAATGAGTTGGGCCCCTCCTACTCCCCAGCCAGCACTGTGGAGATGGTAGTGTGGAATTTTGTCATCTTAGGGGGGCAGATCAGAATAGCACTGCAGAATCTTTTAAACTAAATTGACATTTGAACCACAATCCACAAACCTGATCCAGGACATATGTTCTGCTTTCTTCTTCTTCTTCTCCTCCTCCTCCTCCTCCTTCTTCTGTTTTTTAATTCTAATTTTTATTTTTATTTTCATTTCATTTTGTCTATTTTTTTTTAATTGAAGTATAGCTGACACACAGTGTCTCATTAATGTAATAGGATATGTGTTCTGAATTTAAATAGGTTGACTTCTTGCTGGAATAAAAGATTTAAATAGGAACCAGCTTCTTAAATACTCAGAAGGTTCAGGATACAGTCCCAAATCAGTCATTATACCAAGAACCAATAGATCTCAACTCTAATGAGAAAAGACTATCTAATGAGAAGAGATGCCATCACCAAGAGGACACAGAGTATAGAATTATCAAACAAGGGTTTTAAAGCTACTATTTTGAAAATGACTTAGCAGTAACAAACTCTGGAAACCGATGAAAAATAAAAAAATCTCAGCAAAGAAATAGGAGATATAAAGAAGGACCAAAGGAAAATTTTAGAATTGGAAAATATAATAACTGACATAAAAGATTCACTAGCTTGGCTCAGTGGCAAATTGGGGATAAGAGAGGAAAGAATTGGTGAATTTGAAGATAGAGATCCAATCTGAACAACCAAGAAAAAAGATTGAAAACAATTGAAATTGAGTCTTAAGGACCTGTTGGACAATAAAGAAAGATCCATCATACATGTCGCCCATGTCCAGTAGGGGAGGAAAAGGATTGCGGTGCTGAAAAAATTGAAGAAATAATGGCTTAAAACTTCTAAAATTTGGTTGAAAGACAAACCTAGAGATTTAAGAAGTTGAGCAAGATAAATTCTAAGAAATCCATACCTAGACATATCAAAATCAAAGTAGTGAAAAGGAAGGACAAAGAAAAAGTCTTGAAAGCAAAGTAGCCAGAGAGAAATGACACTATTAGCTATGGGGAACAAAAATGTGAATGAATGTAGTATATATGAGATTTGCTCTGTATCTGTTGAAATGATTACATGGGTTTTTTTCATTATTTGATTGTAATGGCTGATTATATCGTAATTTTACGATATTAGATCAGCATGGCATTCTTGAAATAAACTCCCATTTTGTCATTATGTATAATTTGGGTTCAATTCATTAATTTTTTAAAAAAGATTTTTATTTATTTATTTATTTGACAGACAAAGATCACAAGTAGGCAGAGAGAGAGAGAGGAGGAAGCAGGCTCCCCGTTGAGCAGAGAGCCCGATGCAGGGCTCGATCCCAGTACCCTGAGACCATGACCTGAGCTGAGGCAGAGGCTTTAACCCACTGAGCCACCCAGGCGCCC